GAGAGAGAGAGAGAGAGAGATTCTTACATTCTGAGAGTCCGGATTCACCCCAAATTCCACCAGGACTTTGGCCATCTCAACATCTTTCCGTCTGCAGCAGATGTGAAGCGCAGTGTCACCGTTTGCCTGGAAACACAATTCAACCATCAGAATGCAAACCAGATACATCATGCTGAGATGCAAAATTGGGTCATATGGTTTCAAAACAACGGCCAATCACGATTTTGAGACTACAGTGGTATTGATTCTGGGTTTGATGCAGGGTTATAATCGTCAACTAAACTAAAACCATAAAAAAAATACAATAAAATAACAATAAAATAAAGGTTAAAGGAGACTCATTATGCCCCTTTTTAGAATATGTAATGTAAGTCTCAGGTGTCCCCAGAATGTGTCTGTGAAGTTTCAGCTCAAAATATCCCATTTATTAAATAATTTTGAAAATGCCTATTTTGAGTGGAAACAGAAACACTCTGTATCTTTAAATGCAAATGAGCTGCTGGTCCCTGCCCCCTTTTCCAAAAAAGGGCTGTGCCTTTACAGCTCATACCTTAGATACTCTGACAAAAAAACATTTGTTTGATTTTGATTATCATGTCTATCGCACTGAAATCATGCAAATAAATCAATAAATCCACTGCTCTCTTGTCTCCTCTGAGGCTGGGACTCTAAATAGTGTTCTGTGCTCGTCTGTGCAGCCAAAGACAGAATATTTAGCATGCTTTGCTCGAACTTTCACCATGGCGTTAGAACTGGTACACCGTTGTCCCTTGCAAAAACACAATGGCGGCGCCATGGGTGGAAACGTGCAGATCAAGGGCCGGTAATATTATAATAAGGTCCCCTTTCTACGTCACAGGGGGAGCGAAATTGGAGCGGCTCGTTTTTTTTAACAAGCTTGCTTATCAAAGCAAAGTTACTGGGTTGTCCTTTTTCATGTTTTGTGGGTTGGCAGATGCACCGGGGACCCGATTATAGCACTTAAACACGGAAAAAGTCAGATTTTCATGATATGTCACTTTTAACTGAAATAAAATAAAACATAAAAGAAATTAAATCAGATTTTACTTCAGCTAGTTGCCAAGACAATATTTCTAATTTTTGTTTAACCTGAGGTACTAAAACAAATAATACTAAATAAACTAAAATTAATAAATAAAAATAATACAGTATAAAGTTACATGTGAGGGCAAAAAATATATAAAACTGAATTAATTCAAATTAACAATTAACAAAAACTCTAATAGTATTTGTGACACTAAAATAACACTGGTTTGACGTTCCGGATCAAAGGCAAATGAGGATGTCCAACATCTTTTATAATCTGGTTAAAAAACACATGCCAAATTTTTTGAAATGCAATTTTTGTATTCAAGTTGGTTTTACCTGTTTGTTTGTTTTTCAGCAAAAAAAAATACTTAATGACTCTTAAAATGTCAAGTAGCTTCCTGGATATTGGAGGTATCAAACTGACTTTGATTTGGTGAACAAAAGGTTTTTCAAATATTAATAATACTGTAAAACATCTCACTGCTTATTTCTAAGGAAAAAAAAAGATTAGAATTTCAAGAAATAGAATTTACACAAGCCATTTTCCATATGAGCTGCATTTTAATGTATTTTTGAACAGCTTAATAGATCTAGACAAAGAAAAGTGAACTGACCTATTTAAGAACTAGAGAGCTTCGTTTTGAGTAAGAGATGAGTGCTAAATTTCCACTGATGACACTTAAAACCAACTAAATCAACAAATGTGGTAAAACTCTGAAAGTGAAAAACTGAAAGTGAACCATTGCAGTTTTATGATCAGAGTTTCCTATTCAGAACTTTTTTTATTTGATTAATCCTAAATTACAGTACATTATGCTATAACTGAGAACATGTTTGTTAACTTCACAAATGGCATTCGAAAATAATATTAAAAGGTGTTTTGCATTACGGTTACTTATTTGACTTAAATAACAACAAAATAACTTGATTCGATTGTATGAATGCAATCTTCAGGTTTCGAAGTTCATGGGATGCTTACTGCCTTCATGGCTCTGAGCTGCGGCTCGGATTGGCCGGAGAGGAGTTCCCGAACAATCACAACATTCCCAGCTTCGACAGCCAGCAGCAGCGGAAGGCAGCCATCCTGGACAGAGAGGAAAACGGCAGGGAACATTTGATCTCGTAGTGAAGAACATCTACTTCTAAGCTGTATCCAACAATTACAATCATATGACAACACCACATAATCTGGCCATTGTAGTAAATATCCTGGTTTTAAAGAACTAATTGTAATTTTTACATTTATATTTAGTCATTTAGTAGATGCTTTTATCTAGGGCTGCCCCCTAATAATCGACTAATCCTTAGTCGACCAGAAGAAGCTTGGTCGACCAAAATTTTATTAGTCGCAGAAAAAAAAAAAATCCACAGGCGAAGTCGCGCAGTCCGTGACTAACAGATCGTTAACGGCTAGTCTTTGGTAATACAGTACACAGGCAGGACATCCAAACGCTCGTCAATCATTCATCGACCTCAAATATGGCTTATCATCTGAAATATGTAAGTATTTGCAACTTTACATGGCCGCTCAATCTAATGTTAATCTAGAGAAATGTGTGCTATTCAAGTGTCTGTGTGAAGTGTGGAAGCTAAACAGTAACGCTCACTTTACTCCGTCATTTTTGGTCATACACATAAAAGTAATACATCTTTCGAATCTGTAAAGACTACGTTTATTTGTGTGCACTCACAATCCGCGCTTTTGTAAAATAATGAAAGCAAACAGGATGCGCTTTCTGCCGTCTCGGTCTCTGTGAACTT